ATACTTGTTCGTGAGGGAAACGTTTCAAAATTATAGCAAATCCCACCTAAAGTGCAATCGGAGATGATCTGCTTTGGAATTATTTATCTGATTAGAAGTGTAATGCCTTTCTCAGTTTAATGTGAATGATGGGTGTTTAGTCACATACAGCCCCAAATCCCAAGACAGTAATTCTATGTAATTTATCATCAAATGGTTAATTCTTGTAAGTTATGGAAGAGAGAAGAATCAGAAGGCAACTCTGAAATTAGAAAGTTATACCCATCAAAAATAAGAGCTTTACTTTCACTTATTTGGAAATTCTAGATGATGATTTACTTCACTATTCAAGTCACAATTGAGATCACCCATTTTAAAGCCAACCCAGTCAGTTGCCTTTAGAAATGGACAAACAACTATCAACTGTGTGTAGCCTGGGTATCTCTCATGAAGTTGTATCACACAGTGGGGTTGGGGTAGACACAGCTTAAGTTGGATGACCCTGTGAGTGATCAACCAGCTTATCAAGTGAGTCACCCACTTACAGAAATATTTTTCTATATTAAATGTATACTCACCAGAAATGTCAACTTTTGCTTGGATTGGTGCACTGTTGCCCACAGCTGCAGCAAACAGATTGGTGTATTTTATTCTCAACCATACTATGAGGGGTCCTGCCTAAGAACCACCAAAACAGGACCCACGTATTGTTGGTGAGCCCCATTTTCCCCACCATGATGGTTGGGAAGTTGGCGAGGACGTAGCTTCACTACTTTCTGAGAATTTAGAGAATTTAGAGGAATGTAGAGGGTATTTTCCAGTCTTTTTGGTTTGCCTGCTGCATCCAGATAAAGCCAATATGAGCTTGAATTTCCTAAGTTATAAGGGAGCCAAATAACACTTTACCATTTTGTTGTTTTTCCAGTAAGGTTTTTCCACAAGCCTAAGGAAGTCTGTTGTTTGTGTTAAGGTTGTTTTTAAATCTTAATGCCACGCACAAAAAATGCCCTGTCTCTCCTTGCTGGAGATACTAATTTAAAGCAGCATCATGTCCGAAATGACTGAATGCAGACATCAAAAATGGGCTAAAGACATAAAAAGGCACCTCACAAAGAAGAAACGCACATGGCCAATGAACACATGAAAAAAATTAGTCCTACTAATAATCGTAAATATAGCAAATATAGTGATGATTTGGGTTGGGTTTTTTTCCTATCAAACGGTCGAACAATTCGTTTCAACGATAGTACTAAGTGTTGGCACAAGCTAGATGAGGCAGACAGTCTTGTGTACTACTGGAGAGAATAGAGTAGAACATTTCGGAGGAGCACACTGGCTACCTATATCAGGGTATTCTAGAAGGCAAAGGAGATTTTGACCCAGTATTTCACTGCTAGGAAACTGTGACAGAGAATTAGCTGGCCCCAAATATCTATTCTCCCTTTTTTCTCTTAGAAAAAAAATTCTGCTAGATTCATAGAATTAAAACTACACTTCTCAGCCACAACAATGTTATTAGGAAAAAAACCTTAAATACAGTTTGTTTTGAAAAATTTTCTACATATTTAGCCACATGAAAAGAGTAAACAAATGTAAGCCAAGAGTTTAGCAACAAGTATCTCTAATTTAAAATTATGAGTAACATTTCTTTCTTTCTTTTTCTTTCTTTCTTTCTTTCTTTCTTTCTTTCTTTCTTTCTTTCTTTCTTTCTTTCTTTCTTTCTTTCTTTCTATCTTCTGTACTTTCCCCCAAAATACCAATTTTAAAACCAGAAAAAAATTTATCAAAAAAATACCACTAAAAAATAGAGGCTTATATGATTCGCAAATGTTATGCAAGTGTTAATACAGTAAGAATCCCTATCATATTACATGATAGTCATAGACCCCAACAGCATGACAAATACTAGTCCAGGACAAAGTAACGCATGCTAAACAATTTGCTCTTTAAATATTTATTTAAAAATTACTGTTTCAAAAGTAAATAGTGATTTCTTAATCACTATCAGCTTAAAATTTCCATTCTAGATAGAGACACACCCTGAATAAATTATGGGGGAGGTTCACGTTGCTTAGGGTCCACTATAGGAGGTCATGTTTAAAGAAGCACAGGGGCGCCCAGGTGGCTCAGTCAGTTAAGTGTCTGCCTTCGGCTCAGGGCATGATCTCAGGGTCTTGGGATTGAGCTCCACGTTGGGCTCCATGCCCAGCAGGGAGTCTGCTTCTCCCTCTCCCTCTGCCCCTCCCTGACACCCCCACCCCAGCTCATGTACTCTCTCTCTCAAATAAATAAATAAAATCTTTAAAAATAAAAAAAGCAGCACAATCCAACAACCAAGAGCAATGAAAATTGAAGTCTATTCTTAGCAGGTGCACCTCAAAGCACATCAAAAGGGTTAAAGGTCTCAGGTGAGTCCCTTCTTCTGCTTCCTAATTCTGTTGAGAAAACTCTCATACACCAAACCCTTACTCTCTTCTTAGCACCGACTCAAGCACCATTCTTTCCCCACTTGCCAGAATTTTTTCTTTATGTGTTTTTAATCTCCTTCCTGGAAAACATGGCCTTCTCCCCCTTCATGATTAGAAGGTAGAGCAGACAATGGGGAGAAAATGACCTGGCTAATAAAGGATTTTCTGTAGCATATGGGGAAGGGAGGAGTACTGTAAACACTGAGGGCTAATGAGTTTTGTCCCAGCAAGTAACGAGCAACTGCACCCCAAAACAAGTGATTGGATCCCTTTGATGGGTTACAAATTAATTATATGGAGAGTATTAGTCAATCACTTTTTCTAACATCATCAATACAAGCTGTGAATTTGGTCAATACAAGTCCTTCCGTTTTTGAAAAATGTCTCAGGACAATATAGGAAACTTAAGTCTTGAAACTTTTTAAGGAATTACAAAATTCTGACACCACCCACACACAAATCACAATTTCTAATGAAGAAAGGTAGAACAAGTGAAATTACTGGACTGTCACATCATAAAATAGTTGGTGACTTAGAATTCCAAAATTACTTTTCTTGAAGCTAAGAAGAGACCTATCCTATTAACCTAAAGTTATTAATAGTTTCCCACTGCTCAACAGTACCAAGAATTATGACTCATATCATAAAGATATCATTTCACTGACATTAATGGCATTCTCAGGGTTGTATAAAGCATTGCATGTTCCTTTTAAAATGAGAGTAAAACTTTTTGCACCAATTTTTGATCTTCTTAAAGCTTTTAGAAGCATCTTATAATTCATTTTGTCTGATTGTATATATATTAATTATAAGTAGGTTTTAAAAAATTGCATTTTTCCACCACACAAAACACAATACTAAGTGGGAAGAATAAGATCTTGAAGAACAGCTAGTCTCCTTATCCTGCCCCTGAGTTGCCATTGCAAGCCAAAATTTGACATTTCACTTAACAATGACGAACTGTTTTTAATAAAATGGTCGCTACTGCCTCCGAGTGGTAGGTCATTTTCAGAGTTTATATTTCATTAATTTCAAGTCCTCTCAGCCTAACAGGAGAAAATTTTGAGACTGAAGGGGTATATATAGTTTCAAATTTAAATTCTGAACATGATTTTGTAGTTTAAGGATGTGAAGAGTATATTTTATTTAGAAAAGTGTATGGACAACTCGTAAGCCTGTGAGGTTGGCCGGTTTTGTCTATAAAATCTGTGTTCCACAGGGAAGCAGAGAGCTCTCATTTCTCATGTTTTCCAGGTAACACTCCTTGACATCCACGTTTTGCTGGTGGCACTTACACCTCCAATCATCAGAAACACTGAGCCACCAAGTGTCTAGGACTCATCACTAATGAAATGTGTCTGTGGAGAGAAAAGCATTATTTTAAATCATTAATGCAACAGACTGGAATTGTGTTTGCTATTTCTTTCTTTCTTTCTTTCTTTCTTTCTTTCTTTCTTTCTTTCTTTCTTTCTTTCTTTTTGAAGATTTTATTTATTTATTTGTCAGAGAGAGAGAGAGCACACAAGCAAGGGGAGCGACAGGCAGAGGGAGAAGCAGACTCCCTACCGAGCAAAGAGACTAATGTGGGGCTGGACCCCAGCACCCTGGGATCATGACCTGAGCTGAAGGCAGATGCTTAACTGACTGAGCCACCCAGGCATCCCTGTTTGCTATTTCTAGTGGTAGAGTGGTAATGCAATTTAGTTTGTCAAAAATGAGGATTTGGATGATGGTTCTGAGGACTGGTTTAAGCAAGTGACATGGCAAGTGGCTTTTCCCACAAGTTGCACAAACTTGTTGCAAATTAGCAGCCAACAATATAGTTTGCCCAACTCAAACCCTACGTAATTAGTACATTGGATTTTGGATGACATGGTACATCAAAGGCACCTCTAGCCTTTCTTCCACTCTGAAATGAACCAAACACACAAAGGAAACTAAACAATAATGGCAACTCAGTCTTCGAGGAAAATAGAAAACACTAAATATCCAAATCATGGAGAGAGCTGGGAACTTTGGGAAGAGCTGGCAAAGCACAGACGTCTCCAAAATGATGAAACATCCATGGGAAAGCCAATGACCTCTTGTGTGGAACAAAAAGATCTATGTGCATGGGCCAGGCTGGGGGATACAGAAGACTCCTTGAGTCTCACTCAACTCCACGGAGTGGCAGGGAATAGGTAAGAACAGTCAGATATAGATGAAGCAGCCGGCCCAGGCATTTAGACAAACAAACAAAATGGATCCAAAGAAAGCACACACAAAAAATGAAGACTGAAAAATGATAGAACTAAAAGAATGAATCTAATTGTTCTTCCTTCCTTCCTTTTTCTTTCTTTCCCTTTCTCTCTTTCTCTTTACCTTTCTTTCTTTTTTCTTCCTTTCTTTCTTTCTTCTTTCTTCCTTTCTTTTTTCTTTCTTTCTTTCTCTTTCTTTCTTTCTTTCTTTCTTTCTTTCTTTCTTTCTTTCTTTCTTTCTTTTTCTTTCTTTCTCTCTTTCTCATCCTCATTTATTGCCTTCATATGAGTCTACTCCTTCAATGTCAAAGGGTGAGGGGCAGATCGTGACTCCCAGGCATCCCACAAAGTAGACAGCTCACCTTAGAGGCAATCTTTACCCACTCAAAAATTCATCTCACATTAGCAGTGAGGATTTAGGATATCACCCCGAATCGTCATTTTCCTTACTCATAAGTTTAAGGTATCCAGTGGTTGTTTCTAGTGGTAGAGTGGTAGTGCAGAATAAAATTTTAAAAATCTAGAAAAACCATCTAATCTGGTAGTTTTCAACGTGGGTGATTTTGTCCACCCCTTCCCCGAGGGGACATTTGGCAATGTCTGGAGATATTTTTGGTTGTCACATTTGGGTAAAAATGGACGCTACTGGCATCTGGTGGGTAGAGGGAGAGAGGTTGCCAGCCATGTCAGGACAAGCCCCACAACAAAGAACTGTTTCACCCAAAACATCAGTAGTGCCCAGGCTGATAAACCCTGGTCTGATCTGATCACGAAAAAGGATGGGAATTACATATAAATAAGAATCAGGATGGAGAAGTAATCTGATGCAAAGGCATTTGAAAAATTATAGAACATGTTACTCAAATCTGAGCCAATCACTTTGAGAATCTGTATGTAATTAATGATTTTCTCAGAAAAAGAAGATGGCGGAAGAGTAGGGGACCCTATTCCAACCAGTCCCCGGAATTGAGCTGGGTATCTACCACACCACTCTGAACACCCACGAAATCAGCCTGAGATGTAGGAAGATAGATCTGGATCTCTACAAACAGAATATCACAGGCAGTTGGTTTTGAGGTATGAAGCGGGGAGCCGTGCTTCCTCAGGCACTATTAGAAGATAAATGGCAGGGGGAGGGAGCGGTTGGGATCCTGCACTGTTGGTGAGCGATAGCCTCCCACGCTGGGGACAGGGCACAGACTCGCAGACTGGTAGCAACGGGGAAAGGACTTTAGGGCAGCCCCCCGGACTGGAACCTGGAGCTGTGGGGCTGCACACCTATGAACTGGGGATGGCTGGCGGTTTTAGAAGCACAAAGGGCAGAGACGTGCCCCGACCTGGAGGCAGGACTGGGAGCGCTGCGGAGGGGCGCACAACCCAGGACGCTGCAGTTTATAGCAGCACGGACAGAAATGGAGGCGGTGTGGCCTGGAGAGCTCACTGAAGAACAGACTGTGATCCCTTTGCTCTGAGGCAGAGGGTTGGAAATGGTCTCTTCGGCTCTCACTCTCGGAAGAGACATGGAAACCTGCCAGAAACAAAAGCCCAAAAAAACCGGTTTTCACTGAGCCCATCCCACCCCCCACAGGGCGCAGGGCAACTCTGCCCAAACAGAGTTGCCTGAGTGAGAGTGGCAGGCCCCTCCCCCAGAAGACAGGCTGGGAAAACAAGAGGCCAACAACCCTAACGTCCCTACAAAACAGATGCATCTTGCTTGGCTTGTGGTCAATAATTTGGACTCTGTATATTCCCTCAACCGCCCCTCAACAGAATGACTAAGGGGAGGAACACCCAAAATAGGAAAGACTCAGAGATTGTGATTTTTGCCATAGATTTACAAATGGATACAGATATAACCAAAATGCAAAGGTGGTCCTAAGGGGGAAGGAAATACATAGCCATCCAAACCTCACTCAAAAAAAAAAAAAAAAAATAGAAGAATCCCAAATTCACCAACTAACTTTACACCTTAAAGAACTAGAGAAAAAGCAACAAACAATACCTAAACCACGCATTAGAAGAGAAATCATTAAGATTAGAGCAGAGACCAATGAATTAGAAACCAGAAACACAGTAGATCATACCAACGAAACTAGAAGCTTGTTCTTTGAAATAATTAATAAGATCAATAAACCAGTGGCCAGACTTACCCAAAAGAAAAGGGAAAAGCGGGGCGCCTGGGTGGCTCAGTCGGTTAAGCGACTGCCTTCGGCTCAGGTCATGATCCTGGAGTCCCGGGATCAAGTCCCGCATCCGGCTCCCTGCTCGGCAGGGAGTCTGCTTCTCCCTCTGACCCTCCACCCTCTCATGCTCTCT